ACGGAGAACTTCCGTTCCTTCAACGCCATGTCAGCGATGGGAGGGTCACTCTGTACTGGATTAGGAGGAGGAGCAGGTGGATTCTGACCAGAGGAACGTCTGCTACCTCCATTCTGAATCCTTTGTTCATTATCTGCTCCATTCCTCACGTTCTCCCTCTCTACAGGAGATCCTCCATTCGGATTATACACTGTTTGGAGGTTAACTACTGCTCGTAGAGTAGGGTCTGGAACTACTTCTCCAGTCTGCTGTAATCCTGGCACTGGGGGGATAGTATTTTCTCCTGTCCCAGTGGAGGCTCCAGCAAGCTGGAGGTTAGGATTATTCTCATCTCCAGGCATCATTAAAGATTAATTAATTTTAATCTTTCCGCGCAGCCTTAAGAATAATTTTAAGAGAATATTTTTAAGGATTTAAATTTTACTTTTTCAGTCCTTAATTAAAATGAACTCGGGACTTTACAGTAATTAAGACTTAATTCCTTGGAACTTGGTCTATTTTATCCAGTGATTCTTAAATGAACCAAAGGTTGTTTATTTCTAATTCTTTTGAACTTGAAATTAATAATTTTGTTGTTTCTAATTCTTTCGAACTCAAAACTAAAAAATTTATATATATATACTTGGTTTCAGGGATTATAAAACCCAAGAAATTATAGTTTCTAATTCTTTCGAACTCAAAACTAACAAGTTTATATATATACTTAATTTCAGGGATTTTAAAAAACCCATGAAATTACAACTTCTTATTCTTTCGAACTTGAAACTGATAATATATATATGATTGATTACAGGGATTAAAAAAAAACCCAAGTAATTATAGTTTCTAATTCTTTCGAACTAGAAACTAATATTATAACCTGCTAATCCTGTAAGACTCACAGTTTATAAAATTGAACAAAATATTCTTACTTTTCTTATTTCAGGATGAAGTAGTCTAGAGATTTTTATCTACCCTACAGTCTAGGTAACTTAATTATTCCTATAGAGTAACTAACTAAAAGTCCGTCTGTCTAAATAATTTAAGTCTGGGGTATACCTCATACCTGAAGACCTCTTCTTATCCTGGTCAGGATAGGAATGATCAACTTTGCCCATTTTCCTTGATGTGCTTATCTCTACCCTTTGTTAAGTATTACTGTGTTTTGAATTCAAACAGTACTTGGCGTCTACCTTCACCCTATTGGTGGGGATCATGACGCACCTATGTTCGGAACGGAGACCTGTGCAAACTAGTATGCTATTGGTTGGTACAGTCCCCTACGCAGCACTGCACATATTTCCAATTGGGTGAAAAAAGGGGTATCAACCCTTTTTAACCCAAGATTCAATACACAGCCAAGCCCAACCCCATTATTTATTGAATGGGTTTAGCCTAACTGTTTGTTTTCCAATTATATTTTCAATAGTCATTCAGTAAATTTTCAAATATTGAGGCCAAGTATTTTTAGGGTTCAATATCCAATATAGCTTAGCTTATGAAATTTATTGCCTATTATTCTAATATTTCAAATTAGAATCATCCCCCTAAGGGGGGGGGCATCCCTCCCATTGCCTAAATACATTTTGTACAATGTACAACATAAAGTGTACAATGTACAGTGTATGTAATTATGTACAGTGTATGTACCCAAACTCAAGTAGAGATGAGATCAGTACTAGGTTGTCCAACCAGGTGGTAGATCTGCTCCGGATCATGCAGGAGCGGGTCAGCCAGCAAACCTGGAATGAAAGAGATGGAGAGCTGATTGATGGGCTGAATAATATATCAGTCATGCACACAAGACTTGATAAATTAACCTAGAAAGTGCTCAAAGATCAAGCTAGAGAAACCTAATACATAAAGGGATCATGGCGTGTCGTTAAACCATTTTATTGTCTCTATATTGTGATTATGTATACATTTATGAATATATGTAAATAAATGTGATTAACCTAATGAAAGCATATTTATTACTTTGGGTGTTAATAGTTGCATAGACAAGTAATTGTATAAAGGTTTGATCCGTATGATGGTGATAGTTCAAAGTGCAATGTTATCAGGTTACAAAGATAAGTAATCGTATAAAGGTTTGATCCGTATGATGGAGAAGTATGATGTTATCTATTAGGAAAGGTAATTGATCACAAAAAGGTTAGATAACTTGAGGTGTGATCTTATCAAAGTTGCTAGTTTAAGTTGCTACTTTGCTTCTTTGCTAATTTTGGTTGCAAAAATACCACAGTAGCAAAATTAAATATTTTAACTGAATTTTTTAGATTGGAACAAGCAAGAGCAAAGTATAGAAAATTGAACAAATTTGTATAGCTTTTTCGCAAAAAATCCTTTTAGACAATCCATTTTATAGATTTAAGTAGGAAGAGACTTACTTGTATTTACATTCTACTTCATCATAGTTTAACATTTTGTAGACTTAAAATATCAATATCTGAAATTGATGTTCGATATGTTTAATGTAAAAGATAAAAACTAAAATGTTTATATTCTTATATACAGTATTTTCTAAAATATATTGATATACCATTATACCATTTTAAGTGGATGGAAGGAAATTCATTTTCTCATGTAAAAATCTAGAGTACAACTTGTGAAATAAACTTTAGTAAACCCCGTATAAAACCTGGTCCTAGCCCCTTGATCAAATAGTCAACATTCATCTTAACTGTGCTGTAAATATGTAACTATAAATGTAAATATAACTTCATTTTGACTGTATGAGCTCATCTTGTCTCTTCCTCCAATTTTCTGTTTCTTGTCTAGGTATTCCTGTCCCTTGCTATAATTTTTTTTGAGAATCTTTTCATCATTTCTGTCAAGAACACTTCTGCTTCACATCTCTCTGCTTTGATTACTGCAAGAGAGTAATTGTGTTCTTGATCTAGATGAATGAGTTGAACATCAAGTCCTAGTTGAGGCATTGATAGTTTACAAGATTGTGTCCTAGTTGAGGCAATGATAGCTCAAAATCTTGTCCTAGTTGAGGCATTGATAGGTACATGCTTGTGTCTGTGTAGACATTGATAGCTGATTGTGCCCTTTGGTTTGGCAATTATTGATTAATAGCTTGTGGCCTAGTTGACATTGATACCTTGACGAGGTTGTATCTGGGTTTAACCATTGATTGCTAAGTGAAGCTGACCTGTACCTGGATAGATACAGGTTCTAGAAACGGTTACATAGTAGGGTGTTTATAACCAGCATCAAAGTGTTTGATGCTGAAGCTCAATGCAATAGAGATCCAATCTTACCAGGAAGGAGAATTAGTGAAAATCATTTAGTAAGTAGAGAATAAAAATTATAGGGGTTTAAGTGCAAAATATTAATAATGGAACATCATGTTCATATGTATTTACCCCTACAGATTGAGCACATTGGTGAGGGGGTGAAGTGAACTAAGAAACTTTGCTCTTATAATCATTAGTTGAATCTCTTACATTGATATATTAGAGAAGTTTTGAAATGTTTTGATTGACCGAATTATTGTTACACTTTTGAAATTAAAACTCAGCCCTCATAGTCTAACGTTTTAAGAACAACATTTTCATCAGACATATATCTAACATTAGACTAATCAATTTAGTATTGAGAGAATAGTTATGTAACATTATGATTTACAGAATTACATGTTTTAAATGTTATACGTTTACATTATTGAAATTTTACTCTGTAAAAAAAACTTTTGTTTCCTGATTATTAAAATAATTATCCATTTTTGCAACGTTGAATTTTTCATTTTACTATAAGGGAAAACATTTCAAAACATTTTCATAAACAGTAATTCATTTTTCAGTTATACAACGTTACACTTTTTATAAGTTAAACTTTGAAATAGAAATCCTTTCGTTACAATATTCAATCAAATCACAATTCATTTTTCAAAGGTTAGACTTTCAAGCTCCCCTTGGAAATAAAACATTTCTTTACGTTATGGTCAAAAAAGTTGTAGATATTAGAAAAATAACGTTACATTTCCACAAAACGCTAATGTTGGGGGTATATTCCTCTAACGTTAACATATAACGTTAACATTAGGTATGAGCTCCTATAACGTTAACGTTTAACGTTCACGTTATATAGAATATATCCAAACGTTACACATTATTGTTACGTAACGTACAAACACTCCACCCCCTGTATGGTATATATATACCCCCCTGTGTAGCATATATACACCCCCCTTGTATAGTACATATAGTCAATTTTGACTGATGCCGAGAATGACAAAATTGGCCGGGTTTAGTATCTCCACAACCCTTCATTGAAAAAAAGTGAAACTTTAAATCTACTCTATGGACGGTATAACGAGTAAACCCTGTGAATTTCAGCAAGATCAGAAAGAATTATTTGTCTCGTCACTAATGGGTTAATATAGGTCTATTTCACTGATCCGTGAAGAAACTACATATTCAAAATATATATACATATAAAATCCTTAAAAAAAGTATAAACGGTTCAAAATAAAAAAAGTTGTGGATTTTTTTCAGAAAGTTGATTTGTATTTTATGAAATGTCCCAATTTAATGAGCTGAACAATAGATTAGAATCTGGTGCTTCAGAGGTGCTTCAGAAAACATGTTAGGCCACAAGGGATAACAGGTCTTACATTGATAAAGAAAGCTCCTTTAATAAAATTAGTTTACCAAATATTAAATTAAGGTCAAAAATGGCTTGTCATAATTGGGTTAACAGATGACTACAGGCATCCTTTCTTGATTTGCTTGTCTTGTTATTCAGTCTCTGTTCATTTTTTGGTTTATTATATGATTACGATGAAACTTGAGTTAGACATTCTCTTCCTGTATTTTTGGGCATTGAGAAGAGCCTGTATAGAATAAGGTATTGCTTTGAGAAAACTAATGTTACGCTGAGCTAAAATTGCTTTCAATTGCACCATTGCGATTGCGGTAAACAGATTTTCATTGTAATTGCTTAAAGGGAGACAATTAAAAGGCAGATGTAAAATAATAATCAAAATGACTAGTGCAACTAAGGTTTTATACTTGAGTCTATTTGTTACTTCTTTAATTGCTCTATCCTCTACCAGGGACACTGCAGTAGGTAACCTAGTTTCATTCTAAAAATAAAATAAATTTAATAACTAAAATTTTGAAGTTTAACCTTAAATGTGTATTACAGTTTCCGTTCTCATTTTGAGTTTTGGGTGATATTACAATATTCTTATTTCAAAATTCATTTCTCAAAAAAAAATTTTTTTAGCCTAGGTTTACTCAAAGAATTTCTGCCCATACGGTCCAGACGTTTGGCCAGCCATAGTAAACAAATAAATATGAGCGAAGAGCTTGATTATTTAGATTTTTTACAAGTCAGGAAATTTCAAGATGAAAGTGTCTAAAATGAGATTGCTAGAGCAAAACATCTAGCTTGTTAAATAGATAATAAATTTTAACTAACCATGGGGGGAAGGTCACAAGATATTAGATATGGCTGGTAAATGATTGCTTGGTGTGTTTTGTTTTTCATTTTAGAAAAATACCAGTTGTCAAGCTGAATATAATTAACCTAAATTCATTAATTTATTAAATCATAGTTATTTAAATCATAGTTAGTTTAATTGATCCATTTATGTCCCCCCCCCCAAATTTTTTCTCATAATGCTTTTAATATTACATTACTTGAAATTCTGAAATTTTGAGTTAGGTCAGTGCAATCTGATTTTTATTAAAATGCTAAATATTCAGGGCAGTCTTTTACTTATATTTTACTGTATTAAGATTAAGAATTTTGTTTTTAATTAGCTTGGTTTAGTACAGTACATCAACTCACCTTTCGAACAACATCTTCATCAGGTGTTTTGTAGGTCAGTTTACAATATGTCTCAATCTGCATTTGCATTTTTTTATGATCATTAAGTAAGTAATGGTGATAAGCAAATTGGCTTTTTGAGACCTAATCACCCCGGATTAATGAATGCAAAAGTCAGTAATAAAGCAAAAAAAGTGTTTATCATACATTTAATATTTTTCAAATATGCAAATATAATTGAAACATTTATCTTAAACCATGTGTGTACAAGCAAAGATTGTACAAATTTCATTTAAAGGCTTCTGTGTGCAAAAAGTTGTGCAAAATTTCTTTGCAAAATTTACAAACCTAATCATCTCTTTGAAAGTTGATTATTTTCAATTGTGCTGAGTAGCAGGAAGTACAAGCAGAAAAGGAATTGAGTCTATTTTAAACTTTTTTTTTGAGGGGGGGGAGGGGGAATAGATAAAATTTAAAAAGGTTGGAATTGGCCAGAAAACTAATTTGGTATTTTAAGTCTTATTAATAGCGTCTATTCATTTATCAGCAAAATTTGAAAGCACTGTTTCCTTGTGCAGAGTGATTCCTGTGCCACTCTATTCGCCTCATCCCAATTTGCTTACTTTTGACATTGCATAGGCATAGATATATGAAATATTAAATCTAATAAATGGAAGAAGATTTAAATGTAGATTTAGTCTAGTATTGGTAGAATGTAGCAGTTTCCATAAGTGGATTCAGGCAGTAAGTATAAAAGCTCAGCTTTTAGCCTTATGTGTTAGTTAGAAAAGGCTGATTCTTTTCACTTTTGTCCAAAATATGTTAGTTGGGGAAGGGGGCTAATAACCAGAATGTCCTAAATTTGTGAAATTGTAAAACTAAATTTACAACATTTTTTTTTCAAAACCAAGTTTTAGTCTTTTTATAAGTTAAAGCAAAGATAGTCCTGATAATGCATTAGGAATTTATTTATAAGTGTGTATGCTCAGTACACTTGAATATTATGTCATTGACTGCAGTATAAGTTTTGAATGCAAACAATCAACATTAAAAATCTAGTTATCCAATAATTAATCATTTGTAGGTGCTAAGCATGGTTGGAATTTAACAACACGGTTATAAACGTCTAAATTTGTTAAATCAGTTATAGGATAGGATGCTCTCCTACTAAATGAAAGCTAAAATTGTGATTTTTTTACTCATCTCTTCTGTATGAAAAATACCATATATTTTAAAACAAATTTTTTTAGATGTCATTAAGTATAGCTTTATATTTGTTTAAAGCAGAATTTTAGGCCCCTAAAGTAAGCAAGGCCTCAAAAAAAACAAGGTTTGAAGGGGCCAAAAAGTTGCAAACCAAACATTGTGATCTGTTTTAAGTTAAAGTTCAAAATATTGAAGACAAAAGGAAGAAAAGAGAACATTCTGTGGCTTCTTAATTAAACCAATTGAGGCATCTGGTTTTGCATATAAATCCTCTTACTCTTTACATAAGCAAGGTATTTGGGTTAAAGCAATTTTTCAATTAGATGTTGAATAAGATAAAAACTCACCCTGGGAGGATGTTGATTCAGATAACCAATAATTCTGACAGTTGGTTCCTGTCTAAAAAAATTTTTTATATATATCATTTGGAAGTGATATTTAGAATAGTTATATATCAGGATCACAATTAATGTAGAAGACTTTTTTACATGAAGAAATAATATGTCTCATAAACAACCAGATCATTTAAAAACTTAAAAAGCACTTTTCTTCGTGAAACTGGAATGTGGCATGAATAGGTTAATTTTTTAACTTTAATAATTTATTTTAAATAAATTTTACAATATTTTTAACCCATTAGTGACGGGACGGTCAATTTTGACCGGGTAAGGTTTTTATTTTTTAGAGCCTTCATTTTTAAACCAAATGTTGTCTCGTTTTATTCCAGATCCTTCCTACATATATGCCGAGTTTTGCCAATAGGTGACAGGTCGATAGGTTAAACCGGCTTCACTTGGGAGGTAAATACAATGTCAACATCTTTAAATTCTGAAACCGGTATAAATCAGTGAAAAAATGTTTTTAAAAATTATTTGTTTTTATGAAAAGTGTGCATTTATATGTCAACTATATGCTAATGTTATGTTCAGTTATAAAAGGTGATGTTTACTGCTCTTTTTTTGTCTTTTTTCTGCCCGGTCAAAATTTACCGTCTCGGACCAGGTCAATTTTGACCACCAGGTCAATTTTGACCGCCCAGTGGAAATGCCAGTTTTAGGCACACACTGTGCAGTATACATCCTACCCCAATATAGTATATTTACAAACACACCCTCCTGTATATATATAACCCCCACCCTGTATAGTATATATAAACCACGCCTAGTAAAGTGAATACACACACACACCCTGTTTAGTACATACACACCCCCCTGTATGGTCAATTTTGACCGATGCCAAGATGGACAAAATGTGCCGGGTTTTGTATCTCCACAACCCTTCATTGAAAAAAATTGAAACTTTAGATCTACTCCATGGACAGTATAATGAGTTAACCCTGTGAATTTCAGCAAGATCAGAAAGAATTATTTGTCTCGTCACTAATGGGTTAAATTTCAATATGAAATCAGAAGATAACATTTTGAGACTTCTATATTTCTTGTTTTTCATTCTTTCTTCTTGATCTTCCATTCCTTGTCCATCCTTTAATCATACTTAGGCTAATTTTGAAAATAAAAAATAAGTGAATTTTTTGGATGTTTTCTGCAGCTAGCTAAATTGCAGAGGTAGAACTATTTTTTGGAGGCCTGTATCTATATTCTATATACTGAGAGTGGCAAGATTACTCCCTCCCTTGTTTATTTTTAAATTTTGCTTCAGTCATGTTACTGTGTCAGCTCCTTCATTCCTAGCTAACACACTTTCAATAACATTTTCTTGATGGGGAGAGAGGGGTGAGGGACGTCTGCCATCCTGTGTATTTGTCTTTATTTGCTATCAGTGAAAAAAATAGATAGTGTAAAGCTCAAATCCCCTTCTAATTTTTCCAGTTCAAAGTTTTCTTCTTCTTTCTTGTTAATAAGCACCCATCTCTACTGTCAAGAGATTACCCTTTCACTTTTTTTCTGTTCAATTTACGTTTTCTTCTTGCTTCTTTTTTTCTAGTTTTTACACTTTAAGGCCTTTCCAAATAGTTATTTTACCATCTAGTTGTGGAGCAGGTAGGAGAGAGATAAGGAGGTTTGTAGGAAGAAGGGTATAGGGATTTCTCCCTGTGTTCCTTCATTTTATCCTGTTTCCCAGTTAGGGGAATTAAGGAATTTACCCACAACTGCACCCCATGTGCAAAATGGGGAGTTGTGATCCCTGAAAGCTCTCTTGAGAGGTATCTTCCATGGCAGTCCAGTCCTCACATCTGGTCAAGTAAAAAACCACTATCGTTGTGCATGGCTTATATTCCCACAAGGTTTTAAACTTCTCTTTCAGTGCATCAAGTTGAAGATGAAGTTTTTTTTTAATCTACCCTAGAAACCAGAGGTTGTCCGAAGGACGTCATGAGGACGTCAATAATTACCAGTGGGACGTTTATCGACAGCATATTTTAGGTGTTGAGGACATGTTGAGGACGTTTTGCGCACAACTTCTTACATCCTCACAACCTAATTTTTGAAGTCAAAATGACGTCACTTTGGACATCCAAATGATGTCACTTTGGACTTCCAAATAACGTCACTTTGAACATCCAAATGAGCAAACTTTTGACATCCAAATGACCAAACTTTTGACGTCCAAATGACCAAACTTTTGATGTCCAAATGACCATACTAGTCATTTATTTATCCTACATTTAACCACTGAACAGAGCCTAATTTATTATATTTGAACTGCTACCTTAACCCTCCCCCCTTGGTATTACATTTACACCATAACTGTCTTTCTGTTGTTGCTACCCCTACCCCCTCCCCTTGTATCACACCATGACCACCCTCCTGACCACCATACCCCCCCCCTGAGGTTCATACATTCAACATATCATTCAAATACAATTCATTCATCAATTCATACTTACCCACTAATCTTTACCTGCTACAACTGTTGTAGAAAAGAACTTCTATTTGTCACAAAATTCACAATTTACTGACATTGATTTTTCCGAAAACATCAATTAATTCATTAAAAATTAAAGTTTTCAAAAATGTTATTTTTTCAAATATTTGGGTATTATATCCATCCAAGGCCAAAAAGTGGCTTTTATTTAAATTTCAGGTAAAGAGACATCTAGTGGCGAAACTCAGAAGGTCCTAATCCGACCTAAAACAACCTAAATCCAACTTAAGGGCACTGGTTATGTTGTGACCAGTTATGACCAGTTTGGAAATCCAACCATGCAAGACCCAATCTGACTTAAGGGTCAAGTTATGAACAGTTAGGACCAGTTAGGTAAAGCAAACAAGTGCGACCTAATCCAACCCAATCCAGTTGGGTCTCCTGACTTAACTCAACCAATCTCGTCCAAATCCGACCTAAGTGGATTGGTCAGGTTAAGACCAGTATGCAGTTAGGTAACTCAACCTAACCCGACCTAACCTGACCAAACACAACCTAAGGGGACTGGTCATGTTCCAACCAGTTAGGTCTCAAGCAATCACGACCAACTCCAACCTAAGTGGAGTGGATTGGTCAGGTAAAAACCAGTATGAGACCAGTTAGGTAACTCAACCTAACCATACCTAACCTGACCAAACACCACCTAGGGGAAGTGGTCTTGTTCCGACCAGTTAGGTCTCCTGACATAACTCAACCAATCTTGACCAAATCCGACCTAAGTGGATTGGTCAGGTTAAGACCAGTATGTGATCAGTTAGGTAACTCGGCCTAACCCGACCTAACCTGACCTAACCTGACCAAACACAACCTAAGGGGCATGGTCATGTTCCAACCAGTTAGGTCTCCTGACATAACTCAACCAATCTTGACCATATCTGACCAAAGTGGATTGGTCAGGTTAAGACCAGTATGAGACCAGTTAGGTTATTCGACCTTACCTGACCTAACCTGACCAAACACGACCTAGGGGGACTGGTCATGTTCCGACCAGTTTGGTAATCTGACGTAACCTGACCTAACCTGACCTAACGCGACCAAAGGGGACTGGTCATATTGCGACCAGTTTGGTAATCTGACGTAAGCCGACCTATCTCCACCTAATGGGACTGGTCGCGCGATGCTGCTGGTTTCTAGGGTATGCTTCCAGCTTCCCCTGTAGGATACAAGATGTGTAACTAAACTCAGTGATTCCCCAGCTGTAATTCTGGGACTAAATAGTAGGGCTGTAGAATTGGTTAATTTTAAATAGCAAAAATAATTTTTTTCGTGTTAACAATCTTATTTTAAGCACCAATGTTATCTTCTAATGTTTTGAAATTTTTTTGTTAAAATTGTCATCAAAAATTATAGAGATTAGGTGATCCTTCCATACTAGGGTTGCCATTATTTTGGTAAAAGAATTATATTTTGAAAATGAAACGATCTGGAAACATTTTTCGTAAAGTGGAATTCTGGGATAAATCCAGATGAAATAGAAACCAGAAATTACCAGTTTATTGCATGGAAACTGGAAACATCCTGGTTTTCATTCTGTAAACTGGAAAAATGCTGGTTTCAATTTTCCCCATTTCCATGCCATAAATTGGCTAAAATTTGGGTTTCCATCACAGAACCTAGAAAAATTTCTGGTTTTTTATCACATTAACCAGAAAAATTTCCAGTTTCCATAACAGAAACCAGAAAAATTTCCCGTTTCCCTTATATAAACCAGAAAATTTCCCGTTCCAATACAGAATCCAGAAGAATTACTAGATTCCATTACGGAAACCAGAAAAATTTTCAGTTGCCATTCCATAAATCAGAATACTTCCAGTTTTCATTCCTTAACCTGGAAATAACCTTAATATTTTTATCTTGAGGAAATCCGAATGTCTTATTCAGTTCCTGAATGTGCAAACTGTAATGTTATTCATTAGTCAATATAATATAACCAAATCTGTGGTTCATGACACAAATACATCTTATATAAGTTAAAAAATGTCATCTGTCATTCTGGTCTATAATAAAACTGTTTTCTTTTAGAAATAAGACTTCCTATGCTTTGAATTTAAAATGATGCTTACCAAAATACTTCAATCTTGTAGTTTTTTTATATTAAGCTACCTGACATCTAGGTATGCCTTGTAAAGAAGAAATATTCCAGTTGAAGTTTGGAGTTCTTGGTAAAATGTATTCTTAAACTTATGCCAAACAATCTTGTTCTCATCTCTAAAGTATCATAAAGGATAAGATTTTGGAGTTCTTTAAGCTACCTTATAACAAGCATGATTATAATTTAAATATAATAGATGTTTGAGTTAACTAAGCTGTAACAATAAAAATGGTCAAAAAGCATTCATGACTTTAAAAAGAGGTTTGCTACAGAAAAAAAAGTATTTTAGACTCATCACATGCTCAAAAATTGAAAAATAAAATGTAATGGTGTAGAAAATTTGGGTTTTTAAAACATACCCAAAAGCCTAGGACACTATTTTTAAAGCTCGGACCAATTTAAGTTTCCAATGCCATGGGTTCTTCAAATATTTTGCTTTTGTCTATATTTCTGTGAACAGCATTTCAAAACTGTTCTTTGGATGCCCGTGTTGGCCTATCATTAAAAATGGAAAATTTTATCCCAACTGTATGCATAAAGGTAAATTTAATGTTTTTTGTTTTGTTTTCAATCAGAGAAAATGTTGCCCTGGTTTAGGTAGGGTAAGATATTGCATAAAAATTAAAAGGCCATCTCTTTATATACCCCTCTCATGAGTTATTTGTTTCTTTTAAAAGCATTAAGTCTACCTTTTCTTGATAAGATCTCCAGAATCAAGTTTATTCAGTGTTTGTATGTCATACAGTTTTGCACAGCATTCTAGGATTACCAAACCAAAAATAACCATCACTGAAATATAGTATAATTTCTACATTACAGAGGAAATAAGTTCCAAAACTAACAATTGGCCCATTTATAACACTGAGTGTTAGAAATGGGCCAAGTCTAAAAGGTATTTTTTTTCAAGTATATATATCTTTAAATCCAAGCCAAGTGGGACAAAACTCTACCATAAATTTTTTTAAAATAAGCTATGCTTTATATAAAAAAAATTGTAAACCAAGAACAAATTGTGAGACTTATTTTTTCATGATACTTGATTTAATCTTTAAACATATCCTGGTTTTGAGACAATTACTAAAAATCATATCAATTTTCAAGCATCACGCACTTACGTCAGAAAACAAGATTTTAGGTATAAAACCTATGTCAGATAATAAGATTTTTTGTTAAAACCTACTTTTCTTATTTATAACAATAACTAGAAATACAGGAACTTTTTCTCTTATTAACAAATAAATGTGGAAACTTTTGATATGATTTTGAGCCTTTTAATAAAAAAATTTATTCATTAGGGTTTCACAAATGTGCCCAACACTTGGTTTAAAAATTGTATTATTAAAATGTCAATATGTATGTATATTTTTAGCATATATTTTTTTTAATTTTAATTTTAACAATTATAATGAATTTTTTTTTAGTATTGGGTTGAGAGCATACAGAAATATCATATATTTTATGATACTTCATCTTATCATGTTATTTTATTATTGACTGTTCCTTTGAGCAATTTTGGAGAAAAAGAAAATTGATCAAAACTTGAAGAAGAGCTGGCTAAGTTTTCCCCAGCTCAGATCTGTTTTTCATCTTGACTAACTTACTTGGATTAACCATGCCAAGTTTTTCTTTCATCTCCAAAGTCATCATTACTGTGTTTTTTCTATGCATATCATGTGCACACATTCAAAGTATTTACTCCACATTATTTAATAACTAAAAATGGAATTCCCAATGGTAACTCCAATCACTAACGGAGATTTAATGTCCTCCACTGAACTAGTTATAGAAAATCTTCAGAAAACTGCAGCAGACTATAGAAATCCATAGGTTCAGGTTGCAGATCTAAGGGAAAAGCTGTTGAAATATTTTCACTCTTGCTGTAAAGTTTAAAGATACATAGGGTAAGAAAGCAATTAATGCTTTGGGATTACTGGGTGATGGTTACAACTTACAAGTTTAAGTTGATCCCAATTTGTGGATAATGTGACTTTTGGATCTGAAGCCCGGAACATGCAACCATCCAAGGAATTCTTGTTTAGTGGGGATATTCAGAAGGTTTGCAAGTCTTTGAAAGATGGAAACCAGTTGTTCACTGTTCTTCAAAGGAAACCTAGTTTTGGATTCAAAGGACCAAAGAAAGATTCAAAGGAACCAAAGGAGGAAGGATTAAAAGGTTCCGGAGCCCAAACTCCAAGTTTCAGAGGAATTTTCTTTTTAAGAGCTAGATTTTGTTTTAAAATTATAACTATGTTATTGAATGGATTTATGTCTTATTCAATAAATGTATTTGTTTGTTTAGATATGACTTATTCATTGAGTAGTTACACTGCTTTCTGGGAGCAGCTTAAAGCTAGTACAGAGATAATTTAACTTATTAAATACAGGCATGAAATTAAGTTTGACATCAGACCTTGTTTAACTCAACCTAAGATTGAATATGCTACAATATTGTCTCCTGACAAAATGGATGTAGTTTGCAATGAAATTTCTAGTCTTCTTTATAAGAATGAAATCAAGATAGTCCCTGAGCATATTTCTAAAAAGAAATCTCTGAACAAATTCATCAAGAAAGATAACTTTAACATGGAAACCCTGAAAGATGCTTCAAAAACCAGAATTTTTGGAGCTACTGTAGATTTAACATAAGCTTATTATGGGTCACTGACATAGGGTCAAAAGACTTAGGGTCAAACAACCTAGGGTCAAAGGCATAGGATCAAACAACCTAGGGTCAAATCTCAAAAAGTCAAAAACGCGACAAAGTGTAAAACAACAAAGGGTCAAAATGGAAAAAATATTTTATTCATTATTTCAGAGTTAGGTTAGGTCCAGACACTTTCTGGGCCAAGAGCTGTGGCTAGGACAGGCTAGGGGGCCAATCACTGAGGCTAGTAGTTCAAATAAACATACAAAATAACATATAAATATGTATTATTACGGGGTTAGGATATGTTAAGACAATTTCTGGGCCAAGCACTGTGGCCAGGACAGGCTAGGGGGCTGAGTGCTGCTGCTGCTAGTTCTAATGAGCATAAAAACAGTTAAAATTAAACAAAAAAAATCAAACTGAAATTTTGCCTTTTCGTCGCAGTTTCGTTTTACCCTTTGTTGTTTTATCCTTTGTCTTGTTTTTGACCATTTGGCGTTAAAGCCCAGGTCGTATTACCCTTTGTCATTTGATCCTATGGTATTTGACCTTAATTCGGTTGACCCTATGTTGGTGAATTTTATTTTCATGTAAAAATTCAAAAGTCAAAAATATATTTGCTTTTCTGTTGGAAAGTTCATCACAGTTTGAGTAAAAAATTAAATTGATAAATTGCATAAGTTTAGATTGTTTTATTTATAGGGGAGTAATTTACAATATCATTGTTCTACCTTTTGGTAGAACATTGTTTCTTTACTTGAGTGACAAGATTTATTGCAGCAGAATTTAGAAAGCTTTTTCTATTTTCTACCTTGACGAGTAAGTATACTTTATATATTTTATGTTATTTAATTCAGAATCTCAGCATATTGATTGCATAATTAACATATAATGTTTTAGTATTCTTGCATCTTCTGAAACGAACCTACGGTGTAAGGTTGGAGTTCTTCTGCAGCTCTTGCAGAAATATTAATTATGATTCCAGAAAAATTGTTTTTAATTGGGAATTGTTGTCCTTAGGATCCTAAAACCCCAATTTTTCAATTTGTACCATTTCTATCACTCAGTGTTATAAATGGTTTAAGTGTTAGTTTTGGAACGTATGCCCCCTGTATTAAGGAATCCTTTAATTTTAAACAAATATTTTTACCTATGTTCTTTGCACAGATGCTCCTTATTCCTCTTTTTAAATGATTAGCCAATGACATTTTGAATCTAAAATAATCTTTTATAATCAAATTCAAAATTTTTAATCTTTCAATAAATTTGTCCAAAAAAGGAAATATAATCACATATTTCTTTTGGTTACAAAGTACATATGCTGTGACCAGTTTAGAAAATAAACTTTTTCATTCAGTTTCTTTTAGGCAAAGGGAACTGAGTTGTTGCTGAAAAATCAAATGTTCTAACCACTATATCTTTTCAGCATGATGGTGTGCACCTGTGATATTTCAAATTACATTGGGTTGCAAAGATATTAGGATTAGAAATCAGAGTTTGTAGCAAAAACTCAGTTCCTTTCTAGAAATTGAAGTTCAGAAATTGCTATGAATCTGCACACAGGTTTCTGCTCTACTTTAGTCTTTGTATCAAACAAAAATCCAAAAAAAATCTTTGTTTGTTTTAAAATGGAAACTGAAAAATTTGTTTTCTGTTATAAAAACAAAAAGTATAATAATAAGAGGAGAACAAACATTATTTAATCTTGAGATTAAGAAAAAGAGTGGATCAAGCATTAATCCTGATATCCTCCATTCAAAAGTTTCCAGCTCAGTACTCGGAAAACTCCTATGGGTCCAACATTGGATCAGATTCAGATTCAGATTTAGATTAGGATTTAGAACTCAGAAGACCAGATTAAGATTTAGACCCAAACAAATTCAGATTTAGATTCGGATTCAGAACTTGGAAACCCAGATTTAGATTTAGACCCACAGATTTAGGTTAGATTCAGATTCAGAACTCAGACGACCAGATTCAGATTTAGACCCTCAGATTCAGATTAGATTCGGATTCAGGACTCTTTTGATTCTTGTTTTAACAATTAAACTTATTCTAATACAGCCATTTCTTTCTATCCTCATAATCTTGGCATCATAACAATAATATCAGTTGCAAACATAACTGAAATATTGTTTGTTCAAAAAAAAACAGCAAATGATTTTGTTCTTTAAATGATCGTTTTGAAATTTTCCAGTTTTAATTTTTCAAAACGAAAATTTGTCAAAACTCTCATTTTGAAATTTTTCAAAAATTTCAAAATACATGTTGGAAAAGATGAAAGTCTCCATTCCTAGTTGAGAGGGATGACGGTGTCTGTGGTTTTACAAACTGTTGCAAAACATGTTGTTAACTTTTCCAACTTCATAATTCTTGCTATTCCATATTTGAAACATAACTCTCAATAGATATATTTCAAATTGTCGTGAAAATTGGATGAAAATTTAAATGTCAAATATTACAATTTGTCTTAGATAGTTTTTTTTTCTACATTTTCTAATGATACTGTTTAAAAGATTAGTAACTGAAATGTTTGAATTTAGTGGACCTTATAAGTTGATGACATGTATCTCTATATGAAAATATTCTTTGTGTAACTTTTGAAATAGATTCACAATAAATAAAAGTGTTTAGACTCCTTTCCTGGAGAACAAAGAAAATGGGGCTAAAATTATTTGGTATGGTGTCTCCAAGAGGGGATTTTAAGTTAAAGACAACATTATACGGAGAGATCTTGTAGTTAATGGTTGACAACAGTGCCCAAGGGCCCCTTGACCTATTCCCTACAAATATAACTTTAATTCCACACAAAAGTTCAAATCCCAGAGTATATAAACGTACTGACTTAGATGTTGATTGGCATATAATGTATATTGCACCGTTTAATATGCTATAAAATCTTCCAGTCCAAATCAGGAGTCAATAAAAAGAGATTAATTAAGATAAACAGACAAATAAAGAATTCCTTGCAGTAGGGCTGGACATTGTTACATTAAATAACAGTAAGTTTTTGAAACTTACTGAAGAGTTTGTGACTGACTGGCAAAAACCATTATTTTTAAAATTTTTAAGGAGTGGAAAAAAATATGGTCGATAAAAAAGTGTTTCAAACTGACGGCAACTTTCATTAATTTTCTGCTTAACTTTGCACGAAAATTTACAAAAAATGGACAAATTTTGTTTATATTTTTTAATGTTTTTTTTTACAAGATTTTATACGTTCTTAGATTAAAAAACCAATGGCTACCTGTAAATTACTGTTTTATTGAACAATTTTAACTCACCATTTACAAACTGCTTGAAAAAATTGTGAACATGTCTAGCCTTACCTTGCATTCATTCTGCAGTATGCACATTTTTTCCATCTTTATATCATACTTAATTTGTTTACAACAGCAACATGATGAATTTCTACCCCCTTCTCAATCAATAAATATTATTAAAGGAACTATGTAGGAAAAATGAAAGGGGGTATAGGATGAAACCTGAGAATCTCAGGCCTTGAACGATTCATATATGACATTTATCTGATGTTCCTGTCTTGAAAAATTGATATTAAACTGTGTCAAAATTATACTTTGATTCCGGCATATATTTAGAAAATACATTTAGCAGGCATTTTTCCAGCATACAATACGAATCTATCTAATAAATTCCCGGAAAAAAAAGTTTCTGGAAAAAAACCTGGAAATAAAAACTTTGTAAAAAAGTCCGAATTTTCTCAAGTCCTTGGAAATAAAGCCCTCTGTTTTGGATTCCTGGGATTTTTCCCCCTAAAATAGTATGGGGGCTGCCAATGAAGTCTCAGGAAATGAGATCACAGGAAAAAAGTTCTGAAGAAAAAAATAACCAAGAAAAAAAGTCTAAGACATTTTCATAAAAAAAACTTTTTAATGTATCTGTACTATAAATATGGCCATCCAGGTGTTTTTATTGTCAATTGCCCCTTTTTTTGCATGGTTGTAAACATCCTTTGTTCTCATGCATTTCTACTATAATAGTACTTTTTTCCATGGACGTTTTTGAATAAAATTATTCTGGAGCCAGAATAACAGTCCTAGAAAATAAAGTCACAAATTGATAGTGTTGTATCTTGGATTGTTCTTGAAAAGAGCGAACCGTCCCTTGAATACAACGGGATCTCAGGATTCAGTACATCCCGGGCCGTAGCAGAGTAGACACAAGTCTCCTGCATATTACTGCCCTGGGACTTGTGCTATATACAGTGCACAGACAGCATACAGAGGGAACCTTTCTGGACGAGACCTACTTAGAAGAAGATGAACCGGGTTCCTGTTATTGCGCGGAACCCTGCCTACATTGAGGAACTAGAACCTGATGAAGAAGAAGTTGATCAAGCTGATGTCACTCCTCTTGTCAGTGGAGACACTCCTACTATCACTGTCCCAGCCTCAGAGGACAAGAACGTAGCTGAGGATGCATCAGAGGATGATGAGGAAGATGAGGAGATGCGAGATATCCTGGAGAAGATGGAGAGTCTTGATACAGAGGTCAAGGAACTTCAGAAGGAGATTATGAATCTTCTATCCTCTACTCTTGAGGCCACTCGCTCCCAGCAGCAAGCTGTAGTCCCCCAAGTTGAGGTTTGGGACACAGGGAAAGCTTGGGAGCAGGAATACAGCCAGTATCCTGACTCAGATATAAAAGAGGTCAGGAACAGGCTGTCTAACCAGGTCTGGGATCTGCTCCAGATTATGCAGGAGCAGGTTGACCAGCATACCTGCAATAGTAAAGATATTAAGTTGATAGACGGACTGAATGCTATATCAGTCATGCATGATAGAATTGGTAACCTAACTGATAAAGTGCTTAAACGTCAAGCTGAGAAACCTTAAGAATAGAAAGGGATCAAAAGCTAATTATTGTACTAGTAAATATCTTCATGTGATTTATATATGCATTTATAAATATGTTAATAAATGTACTTATGTTGTAATAGGGTTTCCACCGGAATTCCGGGTTACGGTTTACGTAAGGAAATGATCCGGAAATTTTTTCCATTTCCATTATGGAAAAGGTTCCGGAAAACAAGAATTCCGGAACGATATCCGGAATGATTTTTTTCCGTAAAACGGAAATTTCCCGAACGTTGTTCCAGAATTACGAATCGTTACGGAATTCCCAAACGTTCCGGAAATTTTCCGGAAAATCATTCCGGAAATTTCCGGTTTCCGGAACAATTGGTACCATAATTACATTAAAGTCTTACATATGTAAATACAACACCTGCAGTTAGTAACACTAACAATATATGGATGGATGCCGGACGGTAGAAAAAGTTATACTCAATAATCAATCTATATATAAATTTGGCTTGGGTGTCTGTTTGTTTGTTTGTTTTGGTGTCTGTCTGTTTGTATCCAATAAACGTCAAAACGGCTGAACCGATTGGGCCCAATTTTTTTGTGGGACATCTAGGGACCCCAGGAAAGGTTTATGAATGATCAAAATTTCAAATATTTGTCTCCATCAAAATTCGATCTCCATTAAATTTTTTAAAATTTTGAAAATCCACGAAATTTTTTGTGAAAATCCGCGAATTATTTTTGTTTTGTTTTACGATGTACACAAAGAGAACATGTTCACAATTAATTTAGAAGATGGGCGTGAAGCGCCCTCTAAGGCTAGTATTCAAAGTTACTATAGTGTGAAATGTAACTGATAAACCGAGGGGGGGGGGGACTCTACCACTAGCAGGGCAGTAGCTAGCGGAAGGGAGGGCAATGATTCTCGATTTTTTTTCAAATTTTCAAACTTTGTAAATATGAATTTAATTAAAATAAGAAATAATTCTTTAAGTTCCGGTTTACCGAATGGAAATTTTCCGGTTTACGTTACGTAAACCGTAAAAATTTCCGGTTTACGGAATGGAAACCGGAAATTTTTCCGGTTTACGAAATGGAAACTGGAAATTTTACGATTTCCATTCCGTAAAACGGAAATTTCCGGTTTCCATTTATACCGGAATTATCCCGGAATTCCGGTTTACGCAACAAATTTCCGGATCATTCCATTTCCAAAATGAAAATTTTTTTCCGGAAAAATGGAAACCCTATGTTGTAAGAATGACTTTATTACTTTGGGTGTTAATAGTTGCACGTGCATACAATTATATAAAGCTTACTCTGTATATTGAGATAGCTGAAGTATAGTAATGCCAGGTTGCATGAGGGTTAGGCCCGAGTGATAG